TATATATATATATTGGCTGTAACATCCAGATTGGGGACCACTGGGTATTGCCTCAAATTAACGGACCCGGGCCTGCTGGTGTAAAAAAAATCCCCACAGTTCAGCCCCACGACCCAAAGCAGGAATAACAGTTTAAAATAAAAAAAACAACTCACACAGTCGACTTCAACTGAGATTTTTCTTTTTTTCTTCTCTCTTTTTTTTGTTGTTAGAGAAGACTGCTACTGCTACGCGTTACAACGCTGCTCAATGGCTATTTATTATTTTGGGGCCATAAACAATACCGGTACCGGTATTTAATTTTTCACTTTTGTCGCCAAGATATCTTTCCTGGCAGTGTGCTATTCTAAAGTACTCTAAAAGATACAACTGCATGTACTAATCTGGATTTAAGTTAAACAATAATAAATAATCTTTCAGTGTACAGTACTACTATATACTACATAAAATATATTATATATAAATAATATGTATACGTGTATTCTAATTAGTTGCTATTTTTAATAAGGCATACTAATAATACTAGTATAGTATAGCGGCGCCTTTGGCTAACGAATCCCTTTGGCTAATCAAGTAAAAATTTTTACAAAATCATAAAAGTGTTCTATGAATGATTTAAAATTTTAAATTTTAGCAAAATTTTAAATAAATGTTCTATGTGTTCAAACCACCACAATTAGTTTTTGCATCTTGACATTAAACAATGGATTGTTTAAATTTGTTTTTTTTTCGCTATCCACCTGCCAGATAGGGAAAAAAAATGCATTTTTACTTTTACGATTGAGCCTAAAATTAGAAAATTGGGCCAAGAGTTTCCCTGTTTAAGCCAATCGGCTAAGAGTTTCAAATTTACTCCTACCTCATTGCATGATAATATATAATTTATTAGCTCTACTAAATTGGAAAATAGCATTATAATTATAACCGAAATAACTACAGCTTAACACCCAAATGAAGTTTAGTGATTGAATTTTTAAAACTAATTCAACTCATGCTATTGATCCGCGCAATGCATTGTGGGGGCGTATAAAAGCCAAAGACACGCTAAAATTTTTGTAGTTCATGGCGGACTGTTTGATAGGAATTTTCTCCTAGTCAACGTACCAATCTTATTGAAAAGGTATGATTGCTGTGGGTGCCGAATCCCAGGACCCCCAGCTCGATTCATCAAATGCCGAATTCCCGGTGACAAATTTTGGAGATGAGGTAAGAACAAGTTTCAAGATATCATGTATTTATTTTCTTTTTAATAATCATGTACCGTACCACGCATATAATAATTATTATATTATATTCTCCGTGCCATGCTTGAATTATTTGTTCGTATAACCGCCGATGAAGATATATTCTATCATTCATCGCTTGGATTTCATTTTATCCAATCCTTGAATAATAGCTTTTTGTAAAAGCCTTTTTTGTGAACAAAGCCTTCAGGAATATATTTACAAAGAATACTTTCATTTGTTTTGACCATGTATCGTTAACAAAAAGGACAGCGAAACCCGACTAGTGGGCGTCTCACGTTTATATAGACTCTGTCCCCTCACGGCTAAAGTCGCTAACCAATCAGCGGGTTAGACCTCGAGCCAATCAGAGAGCAAGAAATGATCACGCGCCTGCGCCATGTCAATTCTACGCCCGATAAACAATGTAGCTACAGTAGCAACAAAATGTCTGACGACCTTCGCACTCCTGCTGCTATTAAAAGCGGCCTCTGCACTCCGGTGTTCATATGGTTTTTAAAGAGCTCTCCAAAGGGACTTAACTTTAAATAACTTTTCCTCTTCCTAGAATGGTAACTTAGGCTTTAAAGCCCCTTCTAAAATAGTCTTGTTGATTTTAAGAGATCTAGTTCTTTGCATCGTTTTTTAAGGACCAACTCTAAACATTACAAGTTAAATACAAAAATGATGCTGTATAATTATACAAATATATTTACTTGATTGCATTTATTAGGCTTTACTTTCAGAATTGGCATAGAAAACTTAACTTTTATTAATTGCTGCTAGTATTTTGAGTACCGGTACACTTGGTATAGTATTCAATTTATAGTTAGTAAATATATTATTTAGGCCATGGGCCATAGGCCCTAAAAACTAAACTTAAACTAATTAATACACTTAATTATTATTATTTAAAAGTTGTGTACTGTTCACAATCACTAATAGCCTTCTACTTCCACACTATAACGAATAACTATAACTTGGCCTAGAACTTAAAAAGTTAAAAGGAGGCCTGACCTAAATACTATTACTATTATGCTTAAAAATTAAATTATTTAGATTTAATAATTCTTACAGTTAGCCTAACCCTATAGCCTATATTTTTAATATAGATAATAATATACAACTGGCCATTACCATTGCTATTATATTTATAACTTATAGTATCTAGTGTCATACTTCAGCTGTATGATAATAAAAATACTGATTATAATGGATAGTAATTAGTATTAGGCGTATTAGATCTAGTATTTAAATAATAATTTAATATTATTATTATTACAATCTTTTTAAAAATGTATAGGAGTTATAGTTATAGGCCCAAGCCCAAAGTATATTTAGTTTTAGGCTTTAAAAAAATGTATGCATTATTTAATTTCATTATTTATGCTTAAAAACATATAGTTGATGTAGTAATAATAATAATAATAAGACGTCTTATATAGCGCGGTACCCCAGCTTAGGGCTGGGCTCACCGCGCTGTACATAAAAATTTTATCAAAAGAGACATAATCAGGACATTAAAATAAAATAAATAGTAGCCTTTAATCAACCAATACTTATGATGAAGAAAACACAAGACACTAATTTAATCAATGGGTTATTATAATAATACACTTATTAAAACTTACCTTTACTTAAAATTTAATCACTATTTTATTTTAAAACACAATATCAGCATTGAAATTATTTTCATTCTTATTAGTCATTATCCAAATAAATATTACACAAATTAGGCCTAGCAGAAAGTGCCTAAATTTTTCTGAGCAGCAACCATTAGATACATAATTTAACTAATATAAATTTTGATAGAAATATTAGACATTCTTACCGATGTGCTTAATCTCTTGCATTAAGATTTTAAAATCTAGATTCAACATCAAAGATTTTTTTTTTTTTCTAATTGGTTAGAGAGAACAGCAAAACAAATATTTTTTAATTGTACTGGAATATTTCAAAACCCCAAATTTTTCACTCTTAGCTTAACTCTTGTGCACTTTAATTAAGAAAAAATCTAAAGCATCTTCTAGAAGTTATTTACTTAAATCTTACATTTTAGCAATTTTATTTTTTACCAAGCCAGAATTATGCTTAAGGTAGTTTAGCTATAAAATATGTACTCAAATAAAAGTTCTGTGGCATAATAAAATAAAGCACTGCAAATAATTAGAATATACGATTAGTTAAATTGAGTTAACATCATGATGAATAATCCTCAATCCTCGAATAATCCAGGGAAATATATGGTTAACATTATTTTATCAATTATATGCGTAATTTAGATTCAACCCCTTTTACATCTTAAATGATGCTTTCACCAAGGCTAAGCTGCTAACTCAGTGGCACATAGCTTATATAGAAGTAGGAAAGTACCTGTGATTTTTAATTGACAATAATGTAATCAAATACTAAATTTCAAACTCAATTCCATCCTGAATTATTTTTTGGTTATGAAAACCTTTCATGTTGAGATATTTGTAAAGAGCAGAAATGTAAGTCATTAGTGTTTCATGAGACAAGTGAGTCCAAGAGTCTGGAAAATTTTTGAAACTCGTGATATTTTCCATTGTCACCGCTCATGACATCAGTGAAGCATGATCTGAAATGACTATGGCTTTCATTTTACTGCGATGTAATTTTGTAAATAAAAGATAGGTCAGCTTTAGGGGAAGTGTGTTTCGATTTCATAGAAGTTTTCTACGCAGTTTGTGCGTGGCAGGCGGCCGTCTTTTGCTGGATCTATCCGGTCTGGACCAGTTTTATTATTTTACATCAGCTGTGAGAATCGATGCTTACATTAATCTTAAGCGTCAGAAGGCATCACACTTGTTCTGTCCATGCATCATTCAGTGACAAACAGTATGATGTATAGTGTACCAGCTAGTGACTTCTATTTTTATGTAGGATTTTAATTTATTTGAGAATTAAACTTAAATCATTTTGGAGCTAAATGTTTTTAGCTGGTCTTTATTCAGCCAGCAATTAAGTTAATTAAGGAGTTGTCCATGGCTGTTACATTCTTGGAGTATATCAGAAACTTCGACTTGATTTCAAAATATGTTATGGTCATTCCATTTATTTATGTGAAAGTTTGTTAGAGCTTACCATCATAGGTACATAAACTATTAAAGCAGTGTTGATAACATTTACCTTCATTTATTTTTTAAGAAATTTAACACTAAGTGATACCTCTGTTTTATGACAATAATAGGCTTAATCTTTAAATAAATTTTGTTAAAGAGCATTAAATTTTCCTCCAGTGTACTCTTTAGATAGAAATCTGTGATGTTCTTTTCATAATATGTCAAACTTTTTTCACCTTAATTTATTTTCAGTTACCCTCCCTTAGCTGCGACCTGGGTGACTTAAGCATCTCCTCCAGTGAAATTGATCAATTTTTCCAAAGCTTCAGTGAGTTTCCACTGCCTCCGGATGCCCCAATGCAAGTTGAAACGGAGGGGTCACATTTGTCCACCCTGACATCATGTGACCTCACGTCTTTTTTCTTCGAAGACATCCAAAGGCCCAGGGATTTAAATGTTTCTTTCCATGGCGACAACCATGTTCAGACAATATTTAATATTGACCCAAACCAAGGCTACTACCCAGAGAGCTCTGGAAATAACACACCACCGCATTCTGGGGGTGTCACCCCCCAGAACACCTCTCGGGCTACATCACCAACTTGGAGTGAGAGCAGTGGTAGTATGAGCACAAGCAGTGTGTCTGGAACAGTGAGCAGTGAAACACAACCAGCCACCAGAGGAAACAACCCCGTGCCTAGACATAAGAGACCTTCCCATAAAAGAGCTGAAATAAAGCGTAGGGACAAAATCAAGGTATGAATTAAAGTGAATGTTGTTTTTTTTTGTGTGGTCATTTGTAAAGAATTGTTTCAGATCATTAAGTGAATATGTTTTTTTTTCTTTATTGCTGCACTTTTTAAGCTAATTCTGATTTCTTTTTCAGACTTGTTTAGATGACATCAAAGTGTATGTTCCTTCATTAAGAGACAAGGGCAAGCTTAGTGAATCTGCAATATTAGCAAAAGGTGAGAATTTACACAACTTAATAATATTAGGCTTGATTTTGTGATGTTCAGTTGTTATATTTTTTATTGTGCCATTATGATCTTTGGTCAATTTTTGTTTCAGGCTTGAGGTAAGAATATAGCACTGTGCTTCATTTTGCTTTCTAAGATCGTTTCTTCATCACATGATTTTAAAAAAAGAAAAAATCTTTCAACATAAAAATAAAAAAAAAAGCCAAATGTAACACAGCTGCTTATGCGCATATAATTCTTTCCTTAAATTGTCAGTTTAAGTGTGGAAAGTTTATAGCTTAATGTTTTTTTTTCAATGGAAAGTTTTAGTGTTCTGTTAGTGGTGCATTTGATGTGTGTTTGGAATGTGTACGGTAATAGTTCTTGGATGCTATTCTCGTGGTCCATAATGTTAGTTTATATGGTTAGCTGTGCCCGTATTAGAGGGGCACTTGACCCTTATTCTGACCAGTCTCCCTCTTTTAGCGGCTGAATACATTCACCATCTGAAAGACGGTCACACAGAGCGAGGGAACAAAGCTTCAGAACTTCGACGGGAGATTGAATGTCTGAGCACAGAAATTCAGTAAGTTTTGGTGTTGAGCGGGCCAGGCACCGAAAGACATGCCGTCCACCCAATCTACTGAGTTCTTTCTCAGCCCGTCTGCCAACTAGTCTCTGCCTGGACCAACCTAACCAAAGCTAACTCATTTAAGGCAGAGGATGATTAGATTGACTTAAGTATTCTGGTAGCCTTTGGGTAACTATGCGTGTGCCTAGTTGTTCACAACATAGAGCTACACTGTAGGACGGTCAAACTTTGGTTTACAATTTTATATCACACCTCAAGTTCAAATATAATTTAAAAATTATATTTATAATTCTTTAAAAAAAAAAAAATTCAAAAAAGGAATAGAAGCTTAATTTGTATGTTTGTCTTTTTGTCTAATGTAATCAGCTTTCCATAACCAATACTGCAGAATAGGCCATTATCTGAATTTCCTGGCTTGGTTTTGAAAACAATATTTTGTTATTTCACTTTGGATCTAGAATTTTATTTAACTGAAAAAGTTATTTCCAAATAACTTGTTTTGCTTCAAATTCAAACAAACATCTACTGCTTTGCAAATTTGCAGTGAAATGTGTCGGGGAAAATTAAATAATGGCAGTCTGCAGTTTCGTGCTCTAATAACTTCCAGTTTTCTTTATTACAGGCTAAATCGGGGAAATGCATATCTCAAAATTTGCTATTCACCGATCTAAAATTTAACATTCATAACAAGCACCATTAATTATTTGTCATTGTTGTAGTAATGCAAACAAACTTTACATCACGCTTCTCTTTTTTATTATTCAAGAAATTAACTAACTAATAATTCTACAATTTCTCTGATAATTGCAGGTAAACTTACTGATACATTTTAAAAATATTTGTAATTAAGAAAAGATTTCTCAAATTCTCATTATGTTGGTTACCTTATTTTCTCCTGAGTAGGGCCATCCCAGGTCAATCCAGAGCTCATTTTTTAAGTTATCTTGAAATACAGTAAATTGATGATTATCTCTGGAATTTGTTGAAAATGATGGATATTTTTCTCCCATCATATTAAATTTTGGTTAATTAACATTCGCTTGTACCAACGTACAAGTAATGCAAAAATTTGATCTGAACTTTAGGCCATTAGTTCAGTTTAAAAAAAAAAAATGAAATCTGGATGGACTGTTCTATACTTTGTCAATTTCTGACTCTTTTTTTCTCTACTTCTTTCTCTTCTTGCCAATAATAAAGTATAAAGCATGCTTGTTTTATTTTTGTTTTCAGTTCTTTCCAAGAAAATCTGCCAGCTGCAGGCCTAAAAGAAGAACCAAACATCACAACCTCTCTGGATGATCTTTATCAGATTTGGCGAACTGAATGTAGCCAGAGATCCACAAAATTTTTTATTGTATCCTTTGTGTAATGTGTAAATTCAATCTTTGAGAATTGAAATATAAGCAAATGGTAATTTTGGGGCTTATTTTCCATACCTTTATGAAGCCACATCTCAGATTTTATTTAATAAACAAGCTATGTTATGAAAAATGTAGCACCAGATTTGATATGGCAGAGAAGCCAGGTGTCATACTCATTATTTTATGAACATTGAAACAAAGTAGTATTGTTATGTAAGGAATACACCTTAACCGAATTTCAGTTTTCCTCGATAACGTCAAAACTGTTTGAGAGTTTCAAAGAAGTTGTGGGATCAGCAACAACCTTAAGTGCCCTGACGGCAAAGGCTCAGGAATGGCAGATGAAATACTTAGCATTGCCTGTTCTCAGAAAACGTGAGCATGGAATAGATGACTAAATGATAATTAATAATAATAATGAAGTTTATTTTTAAAAAAAAATAAAAAATTGGCCAATATTTTCTCTTTGCCATTTTGACTGTTTAGTAGTCAAATTGTTAATGTCCAGACATTTTACAAAAATTACATTAAGCTTTAACAGTATTTAGATTAAAAGTAATTGGAAACTAAATGGGATAAAAACAACAACAATATAGCTGATTATTCTATAAAAGATGCAAAGAGTTAAGCTGGCTGTAGCGAGTAGTTATCCCCTGACATAACATTTGCTCAAGTGAATAATATTTCTAAAATGTGTGGTACAAGAATGTCTCATCATCTAACTTTTCAATAATTTAAAGGTTAATATCACAAATCTGTTTTGCAATGTGTATCATTCTGAGCACCTTAAACTCAACAATGATATATCTTTTTAAAACTATATATCCCACAATGTTAAAGTGACCATTTCTTTCTAATGTAAAATCAGGGCGTTTTACATTGAACGTGTTCCAATTTTAAACCAGGACAAGAAAAAAAAAATTTTGCGCCATGGGTTTCCAAAACTAAACAATTATTTGCGATGACATGGAGAGCTCTTCTGTCAGTGAGCATTGTTTTGCCGCCATGGGTGTCCAAAAATAAATGAACACATGTAATTGTTTTTTTACAATGATATGTGATGACATGGAGAATCTGTTAATATGGCATTCTTTTTTTTTAAAAATCTGGAAAAACTTGAAATAATCCGGTCTGAAATAAAAATACATGCTTGAAAATGATATCACTGAGCCAAGCTCTAGTAATTTGAATTTTCCATGCATTTTAGTCCCAAAGCCTGACAAAACTTACAGGTTTTGCACTGATTTCAGGAAAGTGAATTCAGTTACTAAGTCGGAGCACTTTCTGGATATGCCAGTTTGGATACATTATATTTATTTAAAATGTATCATTTATTTAAGCTTAGATATCAGAATGAGATACTTGATCTTTTTAAAATTTAAATTTTAAAAAATTGCAGTTTTAAACTTCACTGTCTTTTTAGCTCTTGTCAAGCAATGAAAAAATTTAAAATAACAGTGTTGTCCTGGTAAAATCAGTATGAATGGTCACCTTATACAATGTGATTCTCTTATGAAATACTCAAGATATAGACCCCTTTTTAATCCTACCTGTTTTGTTGATGCCACAGATATTTGTTGTGATGATATTGAAATAAGGAAGTTGATGCCCAGCATCACAGTGATGAAGACTTCATTTTTTTTTTCTCCCTGGAGATTTAATCTAAGGTCATTCAGTGCCCTGTGGCATAAATATAATAGTTTGTATGAAATCTCATTTATGAGAGGATAACTTTAAAAAAACGAGTAGTAGTGCCAGTCATGTCAAACAGAGACAACTTTTGGCCGCTGGCTACTGGTTTTGCTGCCTTAGTCCACAATAAATTATTTCAGAATGGCGCTTCTGCTTTAAAAAAACCAACAACTTAGGTATTGTGTTGCCATGGGGGCATTTTTATTTTCCAACAAATTTTTTACTTACAAAAAAGAAAAGCATTCTATGCTTTGTCAGAAATCGTTCAGAGAAGAATGTGATGGCTTTCTGGAGTACAGTAGGAAGAAAGAACTCTCATGTCATAGATACAATGTGCATGGGTTGTAACAGTTGGCATGTTGTGACTGAGTTTTTGTTTTTTTCTACAGATATCCTGGGTGGCATGTTGGAATTAAGTCGGCAAAACAGTATTGTGATGAGCTCCGACAAGCTCCAGCTTGACTTTGGCTCACAGGCTGTGATGAAAGTGGATGATGCTTATTCATGACAACAATTTGAGTCCAGATCCGATTTCCTAAGTATTTTTAATCTTTAAAAAAAAAATGTCAATCTTCTATTTTCTTTTTATAAAACTTTTTTTTTCTTCTTTTAGATTTATGCTTAGGCGAATGGTAATTTGTTTGTTAATCAAACAAAATGTAAAAAATATACAGTGTACAGTTTTTCTTTACTTATTTGATGACTTACTTACAAAATTTACAAGCTTCATCCAAATGTTCAGCTCTTTAAAGAATGTGGTCTTCTGTATTAGAAAATACAGCCTTGTTTTAAGCATACTGTCTACTGTCCATCATTGTCTGGGTAATTGGCACTTAATGTTTTGTTTCTCCTGGGTTTATTTGAAACAATTTAATAAGGGATTTTCCAACTGATTTGAAAAATTGATTTAGATTGTCTTTTAAAAGAAAACATAAAGCTGGATTAAGATTATTTAAAGAATATTATTATTTATTTTTTTTTTTTTTTGACATTTGTTAGTCGTCAAATTAATGGAGTAAATCAATATTTGGTTGGTGAATCCCTGTGAATGCACGTCGTGCTATGAATGTATACCAGGATTGTTAGTTACATATACAAGAAGTACTATGATAAGATTTTTGTATTACAGAGCTGTTTACCTATATCCCAGGATTTTAATTGGATTTTGTGTTACACATTTGTGTGGTTTTTTTTTTAGATCTGTAAAAGTATTTGGACAATCTTTTATGTTTCTATTTCAAACATCTGCTGGAGAAAAAAAAACAACATATGCTCAGTTCTAAATTTTTTTGTGACATCAATTAATATTAACTGAAAAGATTGCTATCGCTATAGCCAAAGTGTTTTGAGTAGTCATGATTTGATCATCGTTGACGTTATTGAGGGGTTACTGCAGAGCCATGCATTTTTTAGAAGAGCATTAGATGATAGGTTAAGAATAATGTTTTAGTTGCTGTTCAGCCACAATCGAGCTGTTAAAATACTGTTGCTCACGGTAAACTCTAGTCTGTCATCTTATCATTGCATGTCACCATCCAAATGTACACGTTAACTGCAAACATGTTGAATTTGATCTCATTAAATTTTGTTTAAATGTCACAAGTGAGTGGAATAACTGATTTCTATTTATATGTCAAAGGCTAAATATAAAAAGTTTTTTAATTTGGTTCATATAATTTCTAATTTGTAGTGTTTGATATCCTGGCTAGAGTTTGCTTCATGTTCATGCTAGGTGTGCGGCCACTAATGGGTAATAATAAATGTTCATTTTTGTGATAGATTTCCTCAAAGAGAGTTTCAGTTATAAAGCATGTTACATTTCACATATATCTGTGATCCAGCTGGCACATAACTATGGCTGTGTTCATAAAATGTTCCTCACAGAAGTTTTTATTTTCAGTGTACTCTCCTATAAAGCTAATCAATGGTATCAGACAATATCATTTATAAGAACTCAAGGGTTACAAATGCCTTTTGTTCAAAGGTTCTCATGCATTGAAATAAAAAACACAGGTGAAATACTTTGATTAATTTGTATAATTAAGCACACTTAAAGCTTTTAATAAATAAGAAATGACCTCGATTGGCAGCATTTTGTAAAAAGTCATGACTATTTTTTTTGTTTAAAGCATTTGTGCTTTGCATGAATGTATTTAATTTTTTAAAATTTATTTAAAGAGTGGGGGGGGGGGGAAAGAGTCATTTAAAAATTATAGTTGATTATTTTCTTACTTTGACAACCGTTTTTTTTTTAATATTGTCTTACAACTCATGTTTCCAGGAAAGGTATCGTATTGTTTTTTTTAAAAATTAGCTTACGAAAAGGATGTTGAGATTTAATTATGAGCTAGACTTAACTTAAAATTTAGAATGTGTGAAAAGTGCTCAAAAATTTAATATGTAATTTTTTCTTAGCTTACAGAGAAATGGCTTTATATACACATATAAATATAATTTAATGTATATTTTGTAAATAGATTTTAAGATGTAAAATTAATAAACTGGTTATTTCAAGTTGAGTTAAATTACATGCACTTGTTAGATGTTCGCATTGCATTTTATTCTGCCCTTTAATTTTAATATATTTCCCTTGTATTCATTTTAAACACTTTTTTGTGTGTTCTCCATTGAGAAGACCATTCCCAAATTCTTTTTACTAGCATTAACAACTTAATTTGAAGATATACAAGTTTTGTATTTTGTCATCATTTGCATTTACCAGCAGTTGAACAGGAGGTTTTGCAAAGTTTACAAACATTTCAACAACTTCCTTCAGTTAATACAAAATAAATAAATTTGAAGTAACCTACTTGAGAAATACTGGAAAGTACCTACCCTCTACCCCCTTGTTGTTTTATGTACAGTATTAGCACAAAATATTACGGTCATGTTGAAGTTATTTATATTTCTTACCATTATGAATGTAACATAGAGTTATCCTGATGTCAATTTTGATGGTGGATTTAATAAAGGATGAACTTTTTACTTTAATATATTTTGTGCATTGTTCATGATGTTGTTTGGATAGATCATCTGATGTATCGAGCATATTCTTTAAATTCAAAACAGTTTCAAATCAAAATTACATTAAACCACATGTTTTTTCATTTACCGTACTAAAAGTCTGAAATCTACAAAAGACAGCTAGGGTAGCCTTTCAAGGGCAACGGTTGAAACAAATATGAAATTGATACAAAAAGCACATACACAGGATTTGTGATTGACATAAATGTAATGTGAGATTGCATCTCTTTTCTTGTTCAACTAAATCTGGTATCATCCATGAACACGATATATTCATGTGTTCTGAGGCGTTTCTTCAATATTGGAAAAAAATGGTCATTCAAAATATATAATGAGTTCAGTATAGTTTGGGACAAAATGTTATGTTTTTTTTCTTTCTCACAATTCAGACTAGCAGAACAGCTTACTAATCACAAAGATTATTTTTACCAGGCAAATTATTATTATAGGGCGACCACTATAGTAGTTTAAGGATTTTAGCCAACAAAGATTCTCAATAAATTAAATGAATCTTTCAGTAATGGACAGAGATCAAGAAAATATTTTATCAAGATATGAAGTAGATTATACTCTTTGTACCGTACTGATTGTAGTGATAGGAGATCCACAAAAAAATCATATTGAAACTCAAATTATTGACCAAAACCCTACTTCCCAAACCAAGTTCCTTGTACGAACTACAGTTAAACAAGACAGCAATTTAAGGATACCTGCTCATATTTAATTACATATACTTTCAAAACTTCAGGTACCGGTATAGACAGAGTACACACATTTGGGTCACCAGGATTTATAGTTCCAAATGAACATTAATGATTATTGAATTGAGCACCAAATCTAACTCCAATCAATCCGTTTTAAACTTTCAAGCAACACACTTTATTTTCTTACAAACAAAAGAAATGTGTCATAACACATCAATAAAAAGTTATCTTTTTTATTGGTTTAAATTTAAACAGTCAAAAGTTCAACAGATTAGTCATTAAGAGCAAATTATTATCAAGGCACATAGGTGAAACCCTTACATTTTTATTAAATAGTATCTTTAAAAAAATATAGTTATTCTCTTCCTGATAACATCTTATTACTTATGGAATTAACCTTGGACAACAAAACTGTTGTCATTATTAACACTATATCACATTAATGAATTAAGTTAATGTGCATTCATTAAAGCAAAAAATATCCAAAATATAACTGCAGCATTCATTTACTTGAGCAATGGAAGTTGGAATCCAACGATTCCATGTGATATTATCATTCTTATATAATATAAGGTAATATGGCACACAGGTATTTCAAAAGATGACAAAACTTGCTAAGTCAATTTATTAATACAATACTTATGATTCAAATATCCATTTTTTTTCAACATTAGAAATTTTTAACCATGCTTGCAATCTCAAAGTGCTGATAGTGATAGGATTGTACAAAAGCAACAAACCCTCGCAAATGTTAAATAGGTCACAGACAAAGATTCATCTCAGAGGCACAGAAACTCATTAGAATCCCAAAAAGTGCTCCCCCCCCCCCCCCCCCCCCCCCCCCCCTATATTATATCAATATTCTAATGACCCACCCGCTTATACACCACAGATTTATTTCACCATTTCAGAAAAGCAAAAGAAAATATTACGTACCAAACATCACACATGCTATTTTTTTTTGGTAAGGATCCCATTAAGTGCATTTATTGGGAATTTTATTTCATGAAATCAGTGTCATCATATTTCCATCTTTCCTTGAAAAACAGGAAAACCCAATTTTTGGGGTTTGGGTTGAGAATTTGATAGAATGTGTTGTCATCAGCATCGAGTCTAAGTCTATGTGTCAAGTTTTAGCTCAGTAGGTTGACGGGAAGTGGGTCTATTAGCCATCCCAAGATTTTGCCAGCCAACCACAAACAAAAGCAAAATTGATACATAATAAAGGATTTAAAAATGAGATATTTTCACACAGCATTTGGTAGAAAAGTTGAATCAAAACGTTATTTACAATTACAAATTCTCATTTTTAATAAATTTGTTAATAAAAACGTATGTAAAAATATCTCTGAACTGTTCAATGAGGTGGTTTGTCAGTAATAGTCAACAATAGCTCTAACAAACCTGTGGTTAACATTGAAACAAAGTTCTAAAAGAAATAATTAAGTAATAGTCACACCTTACGAAAATATTAAAATACAAGTACCCGGTGGGTCTCCAGTAATGTCAAATATCGCTTTCCTTAAAAATGGGTCAATGTTCATCTGGTACTGCTTAAAATCAGTTTTTCAGAAAAATCAAAAACATGTGCTTATTAATAGAATATACCAGTAAAGTAAAACTGAATATAAAGATTTTTTTAATGTGAAAGAGAAGCTATAAAAAAATGTAAAATGTGTAAGGCTTTTTTTTTTTTTGTCTTTTGTAACTTATCCTAAATATGTGACTAGCCTTTCACTGACTGAATATTTATTCCCTAATACTAATAAACTTCAAGACGTTTTGTTCCCTTGTTCAGAATTTCACTGAAGTGGCGCCTGAAATAAAGTAAATTTAAAATTTTAACATGGAGGAAGAAGAAGCATTGAACTAGTACAAACTTAATTTTAAGGCATACCAAATGACAAATGAGTTTTATTACATCAATAATCCTTAGTGGTGCTGCTTACTTTTAGAACTGTAAATGTAATGAAGTGGGTGGAAGTTCTACTGAAGACAAATGAAAAATGTGGCTAAAAGGATTCTTCAGCAGATAAAATCCATTTATGTACAACAACTTAAGGAAAAAAAATTATCATCCCTTTAAAATAAATAGGACTTGAGGCAGGAAAAACATTTTTTTACTTACTATTAAAATATATGTCTTCTAAATCTTAGTCCAACCCACTTATTACCATATTTCAAAACTTTCCATGGGGCCCAGAAAACTTATTTTATTTTAAAAATTTTAATTAATACTTTTAATTTAGATCAAAACACCCTGATAAACAGTATGTCCTTGGTCTACTTGAAATACTTGAATACAGTAGTGCCCTAAAGTTACCACATGGCTGGTTCTGGTATTGTTTGAATGAGCTGAGGTCAAGATTTCCATACTAATCAGATTATTAGTTTCATTGATACAGTCGTAAATGTACAAATACAAAACTGTGTATTGGTAAATTAAAACTATTTTATCTTTGAACATAGATATTTTTTTTTTTAAAAACAGCCCACAACTTCAATAAGTAATTTATTTTTAGGATTTACCCAATTACTTTTTTCTAACAACAAAGATATTGGCTGTTCATCTTAAGTCATTGTTCACACAGTAGACTGAGGGAGGACAAACAATTGTTCTGTCTCATAGATTTCCATTCTGCCTTCAAATTTATCACAACATTTAGGTTCCATTCTTTAGGCCTCACATAATTTTTTTTTACTTGTTAAAAAGTTGGATGTGATGCTCTGTATAGACAAGTTGGCAATTACAAGATACATAATACACAAGGCCCGATGCGGCAGGCTATTGTTGGGAGTGATGGAGAAATGTAAGTCAATTGAGATATACACCAAGTTAGGAGATGGTAAGTCTGATACTACTGTACAGTACTCATTTCAAAAGTACTTACTAGACTTCTAAAGTCCTTAAGCTTCTGTCCGTATTTCTCAGTGATGTAATAAGTAGAGAGAGTTGTGACCAGATTCACAGATTGGGAAGACGATTCTTGGAAGCTTTTGGCCACACCTTTTGTTACTGACGAGACCAGCGCTATTTGAGTTTGATCGGAAATGTCATCAAATCCCAAAAATTGCTCAAGTTTTGACTTGAAAGCGCCATATATACTGCCCCAAACAGGAGTCTGAAAAAATTAACACAAAAGTCAATTTTTAAAAATATTATACATTATGAAAACCTAGATGCATTGCTATTTTTTTTAACCCATCATTTATAGATTTCTTGCACAGAAACAATTAAGAGGCTGTTGAATGAGAAATGTATCGTTGGTGCACAAAGCTGAGGAAATGCAGAAAATACTAAGTGAAAGTGAAGTACCGTACTTGTAATTATTCAAACTTAAAGGCGATGTCATTTTTTGTTATTCCCACTTTAAAAAAAAAATTGGCAAGAGTGTCTTCACTCATTTCCCACTATCATTGATGATAGGCCATTTTGAGATTCGAAGACAATATGTTTGAATATCTGAGAAAGCATGCATTTAAAAAATGGAAATTCAGAAATAATATCAGCCAGGAACAGATAAATTCTATACTTTTAAATTATAGGTTTTTACCTTGTAAATCACATTCCTGGGATCAAATTTAGTAAATCCTGGTCCTAAATAGGAAAATTTCAATTGGATTTTAGTCTAGAAGAAAATCTTTAGTATATTTTGGCTTATTAATTGCCATGCTGTAATTAAATTCAAGATTATTGTATTAGATTGATTTTTTTAAAAGCTTCAAAAGGGATCTTTCTTAAAGTTTACCTGGTACAGAGTGGGAGAGGGAGTGTAGTATAAAAAACTTTCCCAAACCCTTTGGATCACTATTCTCGCCATTATGTTCACCATGATTTTTTTACAACCATGGGTGGCAACTCTCTATTCACATTGCTCAGTTTTTCAGCAGCTTTCTAAGTTCAACTGGCTGACCACAGACCTGTTTACCCTCCATCTCTTAAAATCGTACAATAGCATCACAAACTTGTTCAATAAATTATCTTAATAGTAAAAAAATAAACATATATAAAAAAATATGATGTATACACCTCAAAAGCGTACATTGTACGTCAAGAATAAACAGGTCTGTGATCAGCCCTTAGTGGTAAGCGTGGAAAGCGTGCCACCAAAAAAAATTGACCTTTAAAAGAATTATTGAATAAAAGATACAAATGTGTTTAAAGATAATTCTTCCTTTGTGGAGGACATTAGTTTAAACGCAAAATATTAAGTAAAGAATTTAGTATATATCATGATCTTTTCATTTTAATGTGGTATAATAAATCGAATGAATAATTTGTATTTTCCACAATTCCATTTTTCATAAAGCGCCAATAAAAAATCTGATGAAACAATTTATTGAGCATGAATGAATTACCTAGTAGAGAATTTATTTCATCAGCTTTTTTTCCAAGATAATCAGAAATCTCCTGAACAAGAATATCTTCATCTGTAAATTGTAAAAAAAAATAATAAACCATTTTTTTTTAAAAATCAACATGGAACAACTTCATGTCTGGTAAACTACATTAGTTTTGTTCCAAAGGAATTAAATTACATATTTGGTAATATCTCAACGTAAGCTTTGTTTTAATTTTTTTTCAATTAATTGCAAAGCAACCAAATATTTGTGCTAGTAGCTTATTTTGACTTTGAGCACTTTTTAAGAACGGACAAAACTTGACAAACCTGATTGTTTGTTATATCTTTCTGCCATGGAATCACCCATTTTAACCAGTGTTTCAGCCATCTTCTTCCTTTCTGAATCAAGATCTTCATCCCCATCACATTCAAACTGAAAGTCATTTCTAGAACCTGAAATTAAATGAAAGGAGAATGGAATTGAAAGCTCGTCACAGTACATTATAAGCTTTGGCCCCAAATTTTAATTGTACTTGAAGCCAGTTAAGTAAAAATTAGAACCATTAAAGGTTTGAGCGAGCCAGCAAATCACAATTTTCTTCCCAGTGCATTCAGTCTGAACTACTTATCACATGGGAATTAATTAAAATTGAATAATAATATTTTTTAAGTGAAACAACCCTAACATTTAAATATTTTTATGGGGGAGTGGGGGGCATTACAGTAATGGTACTAAAATACAAACGTGATGTGGATGATGTGAGATCCATTGTTGCAACCAAGTGCATGACTTCCCATACATCATTCATCAACCTGTCTGGTATATTTTCTGCTACTGGAGAAGCCATTCTAATAGTAGATGATAAAATAAATCTTCAGTAAGTCATAGAAATAATTCTTTTATCATCATATACATATAAAACATCCAAAATATAAATAACATCAAGTTGAATGGGCCAAAAACGCTGTTTCCACTACCACTGCAGGGAAGCAGAAGACCAATGCACAAATCATGTCTGTCGATTCACATTGTCATAATTAGATTATTTACTGTGGATTCCCATTGTCATAATTATACTATTCAGGACTATTCTGTGCACACTGTGCATGACTTTATCCTCACAGGAACTCAATTAAAGAAAATTTCAGAAATATGACTGCATTTGTGTTTAAATAAAACATGGAAAATAACACACAAAAAAAACAAAAAACTATAAGTACTCAAAACATAAAGAAAGGGAAGGTAAAGCCTTAAGCCTTTTCACTGCATCATTGGAATTGCTGATTTGTAATCAGCTCCACAATTAAGTAGGCTGGAGCAGCCCACTTGAAAGTCCAACCTCTTCTTGCTTGTTCACAAGAGGATAAGTTTCCCAGCTCCTCAAAACATGACTTCCCTTACTTCATTTATTATCTAACCTGGTTTCAAGAATCATGTTTCTAAAATTGTGGACAGGAACATTTATTTCCTATTTTATTAATACCATGATCTTTTTAATTTTTTTTGGCTCAAGTTTGAGTCTTCAGTCTAGTCTTAAGTGTTGAATTACTTAGACCTATATTTACTTTTGTATTGATAATTAAATCTTGTTTTTTTTAGTTTTAGCTTTCGACTAGAGTCAACTACTTATTCCTCAATGCCCCCAAAGACCTAAGACTGTATTGGAAATGGCATTACATTAACATTAGGGCATGAAAAACATCCTGCCCTAGCAAATGATTAGAAAACAAAATAGTGTCTTAACTTTTTCAATGGTTAAAAAAGATAATTAAAGAACTGTAAGCTTAGGCTTAGAGGCCATCCTTAAATGGCGCACACATAGAGTGGGGTTCAGGAATTTGTTTCAATATCAGACTTGTTTACCTTCAAAATCATACAATATCATCACAAAATCGTTCAATACATTATCTTAATTATTAATAGTAAAAATAGAAACATACAGTATATATAATATAATGTAGGCTATACACCTCAAAATCATAGATTGTATGCCAAAATCGTAAGAGTAACAGGTCTGCAATATATAATTCAGGTGTCTTAAAAATGTGATGAATTTGTGATGATGTGGTGTAAAATTGTCAAAAATAGTGTTATTTATGGATGGTCCTTTACTAACTTTGTGATCTACTCTCTCTGTACCTTATCGTTTATATGTTAGCTAACTATATAGTCAGAGCAGCTCACTGTTCTGATTCTTGTTTTGACTTTGAATTGACTGATCTGAAAATAAAATAAAAAATTAAATGAGAGTTAATTATTCATCATTAAAAACAAAATCAAATTAATTTTTTTATTATATCCTTCGATGGGCCAAATGAAAAGATAGTTTAATAAAATTGTTTTACATTAAACCATTTGCTTCCTATCAAAACAGACATTTACAAAATCTGTACCAGTAAGCTATTTCCTTTGGACAATATGTATTAGGCCTACTCAACTAGTTTTTATTAGGCCTATTGATATTAATTAACATTGATTGAGTTTTGACAGTTGAGTAGGCTTGATTTGAGTAGGCCTATTCATTCACAAATTGAATTTATGACCCTTAAAAATAAAACTTAAGATTGTGTGACTTTAGACTTCCTAAAAACTAAGCCAAAGTCCCAAGAAAGAGAATCAAGCAAGGCAAGTAAGGGGCCATCCATAAATGACGTCACGCGTCTAGGCGGAGGGAAAGGGGGGGTCACATTTTTGTGACGATATGTGAGGAGGGTGGGGTGGGGGTGGCTTGAGCAATGTGATGTCACATGAAAAGTGGAATATTATAATAAAGATTAATATAATAATTAATAAGCCCCAAATCACATACATTTTTAGCATTTTAGCATTATTCCTTTATACAACAGTTATAATTATTTTATTTTTAAACTATGATCTCTGAAAGAATCAGTATAGGTATGCGAGGTCCAAAAATGCCCTCTTATCAAGTTACAGGCCGCCACAGATGAGGAGAATCGGGGTGTAGTGCCTATGAGAGTCGATAGAATTTGTGTTCAAAATGTGGAGACGGGAGTCATAGAATTAGGTTACCACGTGAAGTGGGAGAGGACGACAAAAATGTCGACCCTGGGGGTGAGATGTTGATCTTAGTAAATGCTGTAGGGCAGGGATTCTTAACCTTTTTGCAGCGCTGCTGGCCCACTCCATTTCAAACATTCCCCCTCCTCCACACACACTGTATAAATTTTATTGAAATAATACTTAAAAGATGAAAATAATTAAATAATTTAGTGGTCATAGTTTTCTTTCTTTAAGTTGTTTATTACTGGAGGTGCCACTGTACATTGCAATTTAAATAAAATCTGCAAATTCAAAAGGAGGGGGGGGGGGGGGAGGACGTTTTCTTCTTGGNGGTTTGTCAAGGACAGCAGTGGATCAGTGGACACTGAGAATTTTTATGGGGGGGGGGGGGTTACAGAGATTTGTGATGTTATTTTTGGGGGGGGCTACCTTTTTGTCATGATGTGGGGAGGGGGCAAAATTTGTGTGATATCATTTATGGATAGCCCCTAACTGATTAACGCTAGAAAGGGTAATATGTAGTTTAAATTTAATGAGAAGTCACAGTACTCACAGAAATAATCTTTCTGTAAGAGTAAGTTTAAGATATTCACAAAGATTTTCCTTCACTGAGCGGACACTGGACACATAAAAAATATAACAATGCCAAAGTCAAACTCAAAGTGTGACAAAGAAAATTTGAATTAATGATTATCATTGCATTGAGTCACTGATACTGATTAGGTTATCAATATCATAAAGATGATAAGTAAAGTTAGTTATGTGGGGAGTTTAATTGACGTTTAATTAATAATAGCTTAGTAGTTATGACAGACACAATGACAAAGGTTCACAACGTCTCTTACTGAGTCTGGATGACTGAAGTCACTGTCGTCGACACTATTTTATTAATCTTATAATCTTAGTCTACTTATCGTTTTTGGGATGAAAATATATTACAGTTAAGTTTATAATTTATAGGCATAAAATTGTTGGCTGATATTAAGGAGGGATGTCATGGCTCTTTTTGTGTGTTTATTATAGTTGCAGTGAATTAGGGTTTAGGTTAGGTTGAGGAATCGATTTAGGGTTCAGGTTAGGCAAAGCGATCGATTTAGGCTTTAGGGTTAGGCATGGCATATATTCATATATAATATAGGGATCGATTTAGGGATACATTCTTGAAATTCGATAAAAATGTGGCATGGTCCTTAAAATTTACCAAATTGTTAATAAAAACTTATAAACGTTATCATTGTCAGGATTTTAAAATAAAATATTAATAAATAAGTCACGCTGAATAAGAATAAGTCTAATTAACAAACATGTAATGACAACCCACCCCGGCACCAGGGCACCCGTTGACTTAGCAGATTTTGTATTGATAAAATGTTTGTGTGGGTATCCGACCTAATATATTTTCTGCCAATGAAAGAGTGAAAATCTTGTTTGAGAGAGATCTATAATTCTTCATAAATAAATAATAAATAGACGATACAACTTGAGTTCGACTACATTAATATTTACTTCGCAAACAAATACAATAAAAATTCAAAAGTTTAATTAAAAAATCGTAAAAAATAAAAAAAATTGTAGTTTAAGGAGCATTTCTGCTGCAGAAATAAGTAAATTAAAATGTATCATATAGGCTTGGTAACTGATTATTATAACTATATAACTGAATATGTACCCGGTATCTGATACCTCAGGGCGATATTTTGTTTCTTCCGGTAAAATGGCGCACCCCTTGCTAAACATTAAGTATCGGCATTACACAAATACAATTAGCACTCTCCACAATCATTATATTGAATGCATATTTGTGTAGTAGACGAATGATAAATTTCAAACAAACGGGGGAATTTTTTATGTTTACCAAAGTATTATTTTTAAACAGTAAATTTTAAAATAAGCTTAAAATTAAAAGTCACTTGGAGTTCAGTTTGATTGAGTTGGGCTTGATTATGATTGACTACTGACTAGAGTCACTAGCTGAGCCAAGACAAGTAAAGTTCACCAAACTCAGTTGCCTGCCAAGTCTTGCCCAGGTCAGGGCTAGACTCCTGCATAAGAAAGACTAAGATTAAGAAGAGGCATTAGAGGTCTTGTTTTTTTATTCAATAATGAATGATCTGAATGTTTTTTTGTGTGTTAACTTAATGAATGGAAATGAATCATGAATGAATTGAATGGAACCCATTTCATAATTTGATTTGATTAGTTGTATATAGGCATATTGATATTCGTTCACTCATTGTTTTGCACAGGTCGTAAAATAACTAAAAAACGTGACCTATTTTTTGAAGACGGGTTTTATTATTAGTTAAACAACCCCAGGCATCATCATAATTTGAATAAATAAACAGAGTGTTCGTTATCAGCGTTGTATTGATCTGTTTCTGCACACATCACTATAACTTACTAAGTGATGCCGCTATCATAGGCTGTTTGAGTGTTTGCAAAGCTGGTGGGTAAGTGTGTTAAAGTCATGACTCATTCTACATGCGATATTATTATTATTTATTATTTTACTTGTGATTGCTATTTAATTTACATTCTTGTTTAATTTATTGTTAATTAATTACAGAATTGCAATGAAATATTAAAATATTATAAATATATTAATTTATTGTCACATTGCAACTTTTGTGTTCTGGTGACTCTACTGAATTTCATGCAATTTGTTTTTTCAAAATCCATTGCTGTTTATTAAACAATCGTTTAGTTCTGATCACTTTCATAGTTCTTTTTTTAAAAGTAAATTCATAAGAATGAGGTTTAGATTTAGAGATATTGCTTTCATTTCCCTCATTTTCAACATTTAAGTCATTGAATTTGACCTATCAAAAAAAAAAATTAAAAAAAAAAATATATATATATATATATATATATATATACAAAGACTAAGGATTGGGTGGATCAAACAGATTAAAAGTTCGAGATGCATTAAATTGCACTTATTCTTATTACTATGAAATCAGTAATTATGAAGTAATGTATCGCTAAACATACGAACAAATCTAAGTAGTTTATAATGCTAATGAATTATTTTACTAAATTTTAGAAGGGAATTTAACTTGTTATAGAGCTAGACTAATAGTAATAGGGTAGCAATTTACTTTCATTATGTAAAAATTATTGTGTAGGTCCTTGGCCTAAATTTTTTTTAAACCAGCTTTTAATACTTTTATTTCTTTAGCACTAATACCCATATTGAAAATATTTTAGTTTTTGTGCATATAATTATTTTTACATTTTAGTTTTAGAAATCTAAATAGCAAATTAAATAAATTATTTATTTTTTTCTCCCCCAAATCATCAAAGAATTTTTATAGATTCATTTACCTGTGTGGAATGGAAATAGTTAAGTCTGTAAGTATGAAATAAAGTCATCACATTATCATATTTTCTACTATTATACAAGATATTAAAATACATATTCTCAAAGAATTGTTTCAAGCTTATAATCCTAAATAATTACCCAAGAATTCTCAAAAGAACAATTCCAAAGGGTGGCATGCAAAGGGTGTTTCAAAACATCACCATTACCCATATAATCACTGATACTATTATTGTAAATTTTGTTTAATCAACGCCAGGCACAGAAACATTGAAAATCCCATCTACATGCATAGGAGCCAAAATGATCAATAAATTGATCAAGGGCCCTTAAGATATAGAAGAAGAAGAAGGTAGATTTTCCCATTTTGAAATAATAATTTCATGCATTCATTTTTAACAAGAACTTATTTCTACTAACCAATATTAGCATTGGTTTAATGCATGTTACAATCAATGAAAATACATTTAAGCTTTTTTTGGTTTGCTTCCATTTATAATAATATTTTACTTATTTTCCAACTTTCTTTTCAGGATTTTATCAAGTTTCCTTAACATATAAATATTAGTTTTGATTTACAAACTGAGTGCATATAGTCTAATTATTTAAAATCCAAAGAAACTGCAATTAATTTTCATTTTAACTTAGCAATTATAAAATAATTTTTTTTCCCCTCATCTAAAGTTATTAAAAAAATAAAGTCTTTTAATTTTGAATAAAAGTTTTGTTGTTCATTGTGTAGTATATTTGATTTAAAAATTAAATTAAAATTATTTTTTGTATAAAATCATAACTCCACTTCTAGATAAAAGATAAAAAGATGAACTTAGTGTTTTTGGAAAGCTTATTGCAAGCCCTTTAAGATGATATATCCCGTATGGCTTATAGAAATCAGAAAATATTTTACATTTCTTTCAAAGTACGTATGTTTGTACCATTTGAAGCTAGTCCATCTTACAGTGGTAACTGACAAAAGTTTGTTTCATTTGAATTTTAAATCTGAACATTGAGTAAACCCCCCCCCCCTTAATTTAGGCTGCAAATAAATATTTTAAATTAAACTGTATTGCTGAGCCTAATTATTGAAATAATGACTGACACCCAGATTGATTGTTATGTTTATTATAAAAGTAGTAAGCTAACAAATTTCAAAAGAGAAGACCTAGGCTTAGGGTGCTTTCTACTATCATGGAAAATTTGATGAGTGATTTAGGTGTAAGCAAAATAAGATTTAAAAAAAACAACTAATACATTAAATAAAGGTTCCAAGCCATGGATACTGATGCCCCCTTGACATCTGTCCCTGAAGAATTGAAGAGGCTTGTTCGACTTATCGTCAGAGGATTTTACTCAATGGAGCATGCAGTTGTTATTGATATGTTGGTTAGACATCCTTGCGTGAAAGAAGATGATCTTGCTGAATTGCTTAAATTTGAAAGGAAGCACCTCAGGTTGTTATGAATTGGGTTTTCAATAATGTATTTAACTGTATTTTTTTATTTTACAATTTATAAAGCATAATAAATTTAGGAAAGAGTTCAATTTCCATTGCTTTTAAAATGTATTTAAAGCTATATAAGTGTTGTTTTTAAAAAAAATAATATTACTGTATTATTCTCTTGACTATCAGATCAATTCTCAACATGTTAAAAACTGATAAATTCCTTAAAAGTCGAATGCGAGTAGAAACAGATGAAGAGGGTCGTACTACAAGGCACACATTCTATTTTATCAATTACAGGTAAGCGATCCCTACATACCTTGAATTTATACATTTATACTGCATGTTCTTCCCATTTTTATAACAGTTTATAAATGTTTATCTCCCAAAGAAATTTGAAAAATCGTGACATAAATTTCCCCAGGGCGACATTTTTAATTTTTACCCAATTGATGTTAATAAAGAAATTCTGCAAGGCTGGTTCTTAGGAATCTTATCCTGTCTCCAGGATGGTTGCTCTGTTGTTGTGATGATCAACTAAGGTTTGATTTAACACGATATATGAATCTTTGGATTTATTAAATTTTTACCATACTGGAAAAGGGATATACAGAGAAAGACTGGCAGTGTTACTACGATTTGAGGGAGTTTTTTGTTTTTAAAGTATTAATTCAGCAAATTAAATACAGAAAAATCCAAGTTCAAGAAAATATCACCCTCCTGAAGCAGAACTGAAGTTTGTTTGTGCAGCTAAATATCACTTGTGTGTTTATGCATACTGATTAATTACTGGAAATATTTGAGGCATTTTAGACTAATCAATTAATTTCAGGCAACTCCCTGATAAAAATCAGTCCAAATAATGTGGTTTACAAAAAACTAATTGCTTTTAGAAACAACAGAACTTAATACGCCAATAATAGTCAGTAACCTTTGTTCCATTGTTATTTGTATTTTTTGCTCTACTAAATGACTGGTTACTTTTGTTTATGCTGTGCTTATGACATTGTTTAACTGTAAGTTAATAGTAGATAAATCAGGCAGTTTCTTGACTGGGCAAAATAATATTTTCTTATATTTTCCTGAACTTTGTAAAATAAAAACTATAGGTACAAGTAACTTGTAATCCATTTATGATGCATCTTCTATAGGTAGTACAGTAAATGATCATCTGCCCATAGGGCTTAAGTTGCTATCCCTTAACATTCAATGCCAGGAATCAAATTGTACATGTGACAAAATTGATTTTCTCCTATCACGCCGTTTCATGTACCGGTAAAACCCTAGTAAACTTGATTTTCTCCTATCACGCCGTTTCATGTACCGGTAAAACCCTAGTAAACTTGATTTTCTCCTATCACGCCGTTTCATGTACCGGTAAAACCCTAGTAAACTTGATTTTGCACAAAGTCCACTACTGTACTTTCGTGAGGTTGCAATATTTTTCTTTCTTGAACTTAAATTTATATAACCTGTGTTTAATTTTAGAATGTAAGTACTCATTTCTGTTTTTCTTTGAGTGGGAAATGACAGGAGCTTTGCTACATACAACTTACCAGGCTGCCCTAATTTTCTAATCGACTTCAAATCGACGTCTGTCCCCCCTCTATAATATAAACATAATTAGTTTTGTGGGTTCATGTTAATTTTTATTATTGCAGATCAACATAGTGCATTCATAAAGGGGTCAACCAGGCAGATCAAGAGCTTCTGATTCCAGTACTATTGTAATGTCTCTTTTTTTTATGCCAATTTATTTTGTCACAAAAATTTCTTTTTCTGTTCAGCGTATTCGTAAATGTTGTAAAATACAAACTGGACCACATGCGACGCAAAATAGAAATGGACGAACGTGACAACACCAGTCGCTCTTCCTTCAAGTGTCCCAATTGTCACAAGACCTACACAGACTATGAGGTGGGAGAGCTCCTGGACCCGTCCACAGGAGAGCTTGTCTGTACTTTCTGCAATGTTACGGTAACAAGATTCTCATAGTGGGTTACTGTTTAAATGTCAATGTTGGTTTTACTATGTCATTATTTTTTTTAACTTAATTTGTTCTTTCAAAATCCCTGTTTTAAAAAAAAAAGTTAATGAGAAAAAGTGAGATGAAATGAATGCCAGTGGTGACTGTGATGTCCAACCTGGGAATTATTCTCATGACACCTTTACGTTTAATTAATTCTTTACAAAGACTTTAATAATGTATACAAGAGCCCATCTAGTCATTTGAGAAAGTACAAAAGCCAATGAGCAAGTGCATTACACCGGTAGAATGTCTGTAGTTGATTATATAAAAAAATATGGTTCCTGATTTTTTAACCTGCGCGCTGACATTGTCATTAGGTTGAAGAAGATGAAAGTTCAGTACCGAAACAAGATGCACGGACACTGCTGGCTAAATTCAACGAACAGATTCAACCTATTTACGATCTGTTGCGCGTCTGTGAAGATGTAAAGCTTGCTCCTGAGGTGCTTGAGCCAGAGCCAACAGACATGAAGAAAGTCATCAAGTATGTGTTCAGTTTTTGTTTATTACTGCTGTTAGGAAACTGGTTCGTGTTGCATTAAAGGCAGACTGAACAAAAGGCTGAATGAACAAAAGGTAGAATGAACAAAAGGCAGAATGAACAATAGGCTAAATGAACACAAGGTAGAATGAACAATAGGCTAAATGAACAATAGGCTAAATGAACAAAAGGTAGAATGAACAATAGACTAAATGAACAAAAGGTAGAATGAACAATAGGCTAAATGAACAAAAGACAGAGTGAAAAAAAGGCAGACTGAGCAAACACAGCTTTTAAAGAAAACACGTAGCAATTCTAATGAATCTCCACGGATCAATCTTGGATCAGGGTTTTAATTACTGAAATTTTCTTCTATGCTAAGATTTAAAAAAATTCACCATTAGAAATCTTTTTGGGGTATATTTGCTTTTCAAATGAGTGACATTGAAAACTAAAAACTAGTAGCAGTTTAAATTTATTATCTTGTGTCGTGATGCTATCTTTCGAAATCCTTGCAGCAATTTTAATAAATATGCTCAGTAGTTAGTCGCAATGTTTTTAATGACAAAACTGAGGAGATGACATTTGATATTTATTAAGAAAATAAAGTGTGTTTGTGAAATGAAGAAACAAGTTTTTTAATCTAGCAAATACATTGAAAGTCTTGCATCTATTTAAATTTTTAATTATTTTTTTTTGAATAGTCGCAACAATGCATCTGGCCACAAGCCTGCAGATGGCGACAGGACAGTTTGGAGTGGGGATGCCACCCGTAATGTCGATTTCGGCTACATTGAGAACAGAGTCACCATCACAATGGATGATGACCATCCTGGAAAAGTTGAAAAGAAAGATCAGCCCGTCTGGATGACCAAGAGCACCATAGACGGCACTTCAGCTTTGGATTCAGCAATAGTAGAAGTATGGCACATTTTTTTGTCTTGTGTTTCTATCTGTCAAAAAAATTCAGAAAACTACCATCTTGTGTACCCGAATGATATGCTGCAAGCTTGCTCCAATATTTGGATGCAAACTTGAATGTAATTAGGCACTTGAGTACTTTTGCTTCTTGTATGATGCCTTTCGAGAAGTATAAATTACTAGGAGAGAATGTCAAAAAAGACGCTTGTTATATTTTCTCTCATTGATCTGTAGTGTAATAAAAGAAAATCTGTTGTGCAGTTCAGGGGATCCTTGGGCAGTTTGGGGTTGTAGAGTTTGAGTCGTGCAATAACACATTTAAGAACACCTTTTTTTTTGATCCACAGAATAAACTTCCAGATGTTGACAAACGTGGGCGAGGCACGGGTCCTGATGATATTTTACAAACTCTTCTGGTCCATGAGCCAAAAGCTGGACCATCACGTCTTGTGGTCCCAGATTCTAGTGGAGAATCAGATTTAGAAGAACTGAAGAATGGAGAAGGTTAGGAATATAGAATAGAAAATATAGAAATCTTGTTAGAAATATTAAAAAAAATTTATCCAGCAGTAGAAATCATCTCCTTCTGATAGTGTACTCTTAACTTTAATTTATCAAAAACTAGAAACCCTTTCTAGCTGTCCTCTATTTAAACTTTTGCTGTTTCAGATGTGGAGGAAATGGAGAGCGATGAAGACGACGAAGCAGGTCCCATGGTGTTCATTGGCGCCAACCCTGTGCCTTACAACAATGTCACTCCAGAGATGGTGGCGACCATGACTCCCTTGGAGAAGGAGGAATACATTCGGATAGGACAACAGCTGTATGAAAACATGTATGATTAACTCCTCACCTAGGCTTGTGCTGCTCTATTAGCTGTCCACCTACCGTCCAGCTGGCACCTAGAGATCTTAAAACCTTCGTGGATGTAATCCATGGATAACTTTATACCAACATGCACTACACCTGTTGAAGTTATCAGCAGTTATATCCTTGCTATTGAACCTAGCCTTCAATTATTTTAATTGCTGTCTAATTTATTGAATTCTGTGAAGGGAATCTTGAACTCTGTGCAGGGAATACCTTGATATTGCTTCGGGGTCACTGCAAGGACTAGCTGTATGGAGAGAATATAAATCGCAGTGACCTTCAAGCGTCTGCAGTCTTCAGATGACGTGATGACTTTTACCTTTTGCAACAGCATTAGCAACAAAATGCCCATCAGCTTTTTTTTATATTAATGACAGCATGGCATGAATCCACTTACAAAAGACCTACCGACAACCATGTTTCCAGGAGTTAATTATCCAAAAGTATTATTTTTTTACCTGAGTAAATGCAAAACGTTGTTTACTTTCCGTTATTGCAGAACATTGAAAGTGCAAGAATTTAGAACCTGGCTGTTCAGCTGGCAGTGTTTTTTTTTAATGTTCAGTTTTAACTTTAAAGTTTCACCACATGAAAGAGTACCAAAGAAAAAAATGGAAAGTGTTGCAGAGTTGATGTTTTTTAAACTTTGGCTACACATCAAAATACATAAATCTTTATGTAACAATGTCACTATGCTACCAGATGGAGCCGATTTCACTAGATAAAATTCCTAATAGCTGCGCTGAGATTCTTAAAAAGTAAGCAAGTGCATTTGGTGCATAATGTTTAAAAAAAATATTTTTTTTCGGAAATTAAATTGCGACTATTTTCATTTTTAAAAAAAGAAAGAAAATTGAGATTAGTATAGTGCTATATATGTGCTATATAAAAGGGGGTGGGACATTTGAATATTAATTAATTATATATTATATACCGGGGGGGGGGGGGGAGAGGAAGCACTAATTGAGATTCTTTAAAGTGCATTGCCCGTTACTTGAATGTATGTTTTGTCAAGTCACTTCGTGGATGCCAAGTTCATCCATTGTTTGGTGGATTATAAAGTTATAGCTAGTTTTAAATATAATCTCTCAAGGTAAGAGGATCTTTGATTTATCATAATTTATGGATCCCTAAATATTTCCAAATTACGTTTTTTTGTCGATTTTAATCTGACGAGCAAATGTCTACATGATGGCGAATAGTATAAAATAGTTTTGCCCTGAAAACTGTTATTTTTGGTGCTCTATCACCGTTTGAGGCTACAACAATTCAGGGGATCTTTTCAAATTGTGACTCTTTCTTAATTCATTTTGCCAACTTAGTCGAGATCATGTGAAAGTGTATGCAGTTTCAGAGTGCTTTTGGGCATTTCTTTTTTAACAAGTATGACATTAGCTAGTTATGAAGAGGGCATTTCATTTATCACTCCCTACAAAAATTGGAACAACGCATGTTATTTTTGTGTAATGTAATGTACATACTTTCATGTTGTTCATAAACATTTGTTTTGAGGATATGGACAATGACATATCAAAATTAAAAAAACTTGTTTAAAACAATGGAAACTTGTCATGTGTTTGTGAGCATGTTTTATGGGAACTAGCCACTTTTAAAACTGAATTCTAAGTAAACTAGGATCACACAATTCTGCTGTATCTACAAGATCATGAGGACAACCAAACAAAATATGGATCTTGCCTGTAATTCAATCAAAAAAATTTAGAAACAAAAAAAATATATGTCTCTTTTGACAATAGTTTTATGTACAGCGCGGTGAGACCAGCCCTAGGCTGGGGTACCAGCCAAAGACCAAAAATTATTATTATTATTATATATATTAAAAAAAAATAACCAAACACTGAATGCTCCTGTTGTAGCTGAAATATTTATTTGCTGAGAGTAAACAATGTAAGTGAACCTGCTGTAGGCGTGGTCAACACATTTCTGAACAAAGCCCTCCCACAACAGATGAACACATCTTCCCATACTGGCCTTACTTACATTTACACTAAATTACATAGTTCATAGAAGAAAACAACAATTTAAAAAGTAACTGACACTACATCTGATTAATTAATGGAAGGCTAACTGAATAAATTATTTCCTGCTAACTTGTAGCATCCCTTTTACTTTTATAATTTTATATAAATGAGGATTTTAAACCATTTCTGTAAATTATGTGTACCCTGTCAAATGGACACCTTGCATGCATATATTTTACAAATATCTTCAAGGCAAGATTAAATTTATTTTTTGAAAATTAGCAGTGAATAAAATTTAATTATGAGTAGCAGCCCATCAAAAGCTAAATTTGCCTTTTAAAAAGTGCATTTCTTAAACTTTTCAAACAATCTATTTTTAAATCTATTAATTATACATATATTTTGTATTGGTGGTGATGAGTTTTTTTTACCATACAGAACTTACCAATATTCATGATAAAACAAAAAAATAGGACCACCAAGTCCTGTTTTGTGACTCTTTTAAATATCGGTATAGACAAATGGTCGACAAATCGTGGCTCTTTAGCGACCTGATTGCCGCTCGGCTAGTCGGCCACAAATCGGGTTAGACTCCGAAAAACACTGTTCTTGAAAAGAACTCTCACTCTCAAAATTTTTTAACATCATCCTGCTGCTGACTTTTGGCTCTTTTGACTAATGAGTTTGCCGACCACTGGTATAGACTTTTCACTGACAGAAAAAAATAAATGGTAATTTTTATGATCATTGAATTGTTACATGACAATTGCTCTACCCCAATCGTAAATAATGTATACAAGTGAGAATAACTGGTGATGAAAGTGGATTGTCTGCTTTCAATGCTGATCATCAGATCGTATAAATGCTATTTAAACGTTCTTAACTAGATCGCAATATAGTGTTTCAACTTTTGGAATTCTCTTTTATTATGTCATTTATATTTTAAAGAAATTAAAGTTCGTATTTAAAAATGAGAACTATTATTTAGAACCTTAAAAATGTATTTAAAAAATCAGAAACAAAAGAGGACAAAAGGGCCAGTGTTAAAATGTAATTAAGTTTTTAAAAAAAACACACAAAAAAACATTCTCTGCAACAGAAACATCGGCATCGTATAACTAACAGTACTAATAGTATGGTCTCTTTATATCACTTTAATATAAGTGTAATAAGTCTATATATTGTCATAACTTATGACTGCTGCAAATTAAAGTTTCATATTAAATGAAAGAACTACAACTCTGCTGGTACATCATGTTCGGCTATGGAAAGTTGCCTCTAAATTGCTTAACAGGCAAACTCATGTTGCCGTCCACTTTTTCCCCAGAGAACATTTTTGTCTATCATAGATTCCTTCTTGTAGAAAAAAAAAATGTAGTTGCATTCTTTTATGAACATGGTAAAAGTAAGGCCCATTTAATATTTGCTCACTAGCAATCAACTACACACCAAACTAGTACAAATAACATCCATAGCAAACTAGAGCAATGATGAGACTGGATGCCAGTGCCATTTAACTGTAGTCTCGGGTAGTATTACATAATTCAACAACTTTTATTCTCAATTATGTTAAGCATTTACATTATAACTTTGTAAAAAAAAAAAATGTAAACTAGCAAAACATGTTACATTTTCAAAGTTAAACCCTGAGGCTCAACAACAGCAGTTAAACCTCTGTGTCTTGTGCCTCTCTGACAAGGCATTTAGTGTAGAACGGAGGCTCAACAATAGAAGTTAAACCTCTGTGTCTGGTGCCGCTCTGCAAGGCATTTAGTGTTGTATAGTACAGAGGTAAGAGTATTGAGGGGAATATGACAAGTTTAACATCATTGAATTATAAATTTAATTAGTGCAAAAATGCAACATTACACTATTGCTAGTTTTCTAAGTTAGAAACAATTTTTTTTAAGGAATGTAATGAGAACTATAGCTACAATATTCCATGGGAAACATGCGGCAATGAGAACCAAAGATGCAAATTTCAGAGTGTTCAAGAAAGTTTTGAAATTCACCAGTTTCTTGGTGCTAAAGATTGTTTTTTTAAATATTTATTTGTTTATAAGAAATCAGAAATGTAAAGATTATTAAATTTTCTGTTGCCATATTCATTATGTACATCAATTATTAAAAAAAACAACCCAAAAAAACCCACTAGAACCAGGGGTGAACAATTGTGAAAACTAATTCATACAGGGAGAAAGTTGGAAATAACATTTTTTTGGCAAATAAATATTAAAGCAATAGTATATAATTATAAAGTTTTACCAAGGTAAATCGAAAGTAAAAGCCATCTTTAGAAATCTTTATTGAATATTTAACCAAAATTAATAAAGAATACTTTAAGTGTCAAAGGAGCTCAATTTTCAAGTTAAAATGACAGGGAATTTTAAAAATGCAATTATTAAAAGGGTGAAATAACAAGACCTCAACTGAGCTATAGATATTGTATTTGTTTAAATTTTCAGACAATTCATCTTTAAGATAGATATCTCATTTTGAAATTGCATTTTCCTAGATTACCTACATACTAACTTCTTCCTGTACTTATTACTGGGCATGCTAAATATAAATTTTAAAATATTTAATGTCAAATTGTTCTACAAAAGCTGAATAAAATTGAGAAAACTTGACAATGTTCATCTCAATATTTAGTATTTAAAGAGAATGATAGGATTATCCAGTGGATAATATTGCACAGATTCACATTGACTACTTGAACCATCCATCAAATATAAAACAATTGAGGTGAAATAAATATAAGAAAATAACCAAATTCATGGTTATAAAATTTATTTCAGTCCCCCAAACTTAAGAATCAGCTATTGTATTACTGCAGCTGATTTGAACGTGTTTTATAATAAATAAATAAATATTAAATATTTTGTTTGTAAACATAATCAGTTGGTTATTAAAAAGCAAATAAATTTCTTTGACAGAAACACCAAAAAACATTCAATAGAAAATTTAAGATAATTTTAAACCTTTAAAAAAAAACATTTACAAAAATTTTTTTAAAACTTTGGCAACAACACAGCTGAAAATCTGGCATTACACATTTGTGTTGATGGGGGATTACAATAAATATTCTAGATCTGCCAGATGAGCTTGGTGGCAGAATGAAAGACATAGTATATAAGAATTGCTATGGTAGCTTTGTATTCAATGTTTACATAATTGGACAATTTTATGTAGAGCAAAGCTGGCTTTGTTGTGTTTGGCAGTCGGTTACAGCTTTACACATATATCTTCAGATATATGCATATTTAAAGATGGATTTTTCAAACATATGCAGACATTTTATTTGCTGTTTGTCAGAGTTCCACTGACAGCAATATTTTTTTTAAAAACTTGATATACTTTTTATTTTATTTATTAACACAAAAAAAAAAATATCTGAAAAAAAGAAAAAGTCCATAATTTTTAATTAAAAAAAAAACAAAAAAAAAGAATTCTTTATTATTTTTATGTACACTCGACTATAATATTTAAATATTTGCACTACACTTTATCTGTTACTCCTGCAACTCTAGGCTTGTGATTAGGAGATGACAGTTTCAGCTGCACCCACTCAAGAGCGTGGGATATTCTCTTCAAGTGGCGAGAATCTGCCCCGGTCATTTGTTCCAGTTCAACTTCCTTTAATTTGAGCATCTGGTCAAGGGTGAGAACTCCTCCATCAGTAAGGGACTTGTAGTACATGGGCAATCCAATGGATATTAGGAAATTTTGAATTGAAGAAATTTGTAAGTCACATGCGTGCTTGCAAGAATCACTGAGGCTTTCATTTTGAATCTGTCAATAAACGAAGAAATTTGTTAAAAAATGCGAGCTAATAGAACATATAAACTTTTAGGC